TGGAGATCATATTGATGAATGACCTTGAGCTCCAGCAGCTGCAGCAGGGGAAGGAGCGGCTTGGGGAGCCTTCAAAAACGTCGAGAAAAAGTTAGGCTAGAGACGAGAACACAGCTCCGTGCCCACCTCTTCGATTCCGCGGTCCTTCCTGCCTTGACGTACGCCTCAGAGACTTGGACTCTACGAAAGCAGGATGAGCATGCGGTCGGTGTTATTCAACGCGCCATCGAAAGGGCGATGCTCGGAGTTTCCCGCTACACGCAAGTGAGAGAGGGAATCGGATGCTTCGCGCACTCCGCCACCACGCCCCCATCGAAAGATCAGAGATGCGCCGCATGGGCTAAGGGTTGTTCGACGATCAGCGTGGCGGACACGTTCCATATGCGTTCGCAGGCGACCGCGGACCCAGAAAGCAATCACCGACTGATTCCAACGTGATGTTCCAAGCGAACGCCTGGAAGACCGCTACGCAATGGTCAGATTTCTACGTGAAAGCTCTGAACGAATGGTATGAAGTTCATCGTGTCCCTCGAGCTGAGAGAGTTCATTGGGCAACTCTTGCACGTTGCAGGGACGAATGGAGACGTTACTGGCGCCCGCTCGAGGAACTCGATGATCAACGGGAGAGCACAGGTGATACATGGTGTGAGGGTTATCATATTGATCTCTTCTATCTTCACCTCAGTCTCACCATTCGAAATGAGAGATAAGCATAGTGGCTACTGGCTAGTAGGTAGCAGGCAGTGGGGGTCCGCATGGGCCTCAGGGGTGCCTATGGGCCCAATTGGTCAGCTTGCAACGCAGTTTTTGCCAATTTCCGGTTTTTGAAAGTAGCACTGCCTCCAAAGTTTGAGAGGTCACAGCCTTATTTTATCGCATGAAGTTATGCTTTCAAGTCTGATGAAGCTGTTACACAGAGAAAGCTAACCAGTAAAAGTTGCATGATTTGGTGAAGATCTTCTCGAGACTGATCAGTCAGCAGGTTATCTGTTTGTTAACCAATTGCGTACCGCGGCGTTTTCGCAAAAACGGGCGCCTGTGGCCGACGCCCTTTTATCGACGCGACTCGTGGCGCGCCGACTATAAACAAATGTGATTTAATTCATGCACATATGCTATAAAAATATTGTATATACTTCACATTGTGCAATACTTTTACATGCATCAGTATGATAAGTAAAACTGAATACTATTACGCTTTAAAAAATGCAGCAGTTACTAAAAAGACTTATAAAATCAAAAAGGATTGGAAATGGGGCACAATACGTTTACAAATTGTTCAGTTGCTCTATTTTGCGACCTTTTAGTTCGGTCACAACCTTAGTTTTGGCTTTACTGGTTACAAAGAAAAAAGCGAAGAACATAGTAGCTGGAGAATTTCCTAAAAAATGTCGATAACTTAGCTCTAGCTGGATCCTACAATTTCCCTTTTTTCATATTTCTTCCAGAAGGCTTCAGAAATATACCGACCCACTTGGGTCATAGAACAATGCTAAATAAGTTTAACCGAAGCGTGCTGCACCATGTGCAGGCCATACAGAGACAAATGGGCGTGCTGCACATTGGTGCAGCACGCTGTACGTAATGGGTTATTACTGTTGTTGGAAATCAGTCTCGGTCTTAGCCAGCGTTCAGCCTTCGCGACAGCAGCGCTTCAATCGCACGTCCGACGCGATAGGCGCTGTCGAAAGCATCAGGGTACAGCATGGATGTGTTCAAATGGGGTGTGCATAACGACCCCCCCCCCCTCGAAGAGGGTCCAGATACGACCCCCCCCTCCTGCTCTAACTGACAACCAGATGCATGTTCACCACAAATGACTTCCTGAAATGGAATCTGGATTCTCGAAAGGCGCACTCTGCTCTAAAATACAGGAAATAAAAGGCTGTTTCAGCCTCATGCAATATGAGGCTGAACAACAGCCTCGCATTACCTACAATTTTGTCTTAGGATTCAAAATAAAACTGCTTCGTTTCGATTAAAAACTATGTATGACATGCAACTTGTAACAAGAACACAATTGAAATAGCGGCTAATGGTGATCATTGATAGGCTGAATTGGTGAAAAAAATAGCCCCAAGGTGAGCGTGTCAGGGCCCAGATGTGCATTCAATGAATGGTGACGGGGAAATAATGAAAACATGCACGACACAACAAAGCGAAACATGGAAAATACAAAAAATGCAGAGCTAAATGAAAAAAGGATAACCAGGCCGGCAGTAAATCGTTCCATACTTGGCTATTATCGATCAGGCTGCAGGGCGCAAGGCTGCGACCGCTTTCTTTGGAAAAACGTCATTGGAGCGCGGTTGTTGGACTTGCCTCCAACGACCGGGTGTCTGTCGGGGGGGGAGGTTATATCTTTTTAGGTGCGGAGCTTTTGAGGAATGGTGAGCAGCATGCAACGGCAAAGTTTCTACTGTTGTGTATTCTACCTAGTTGCAAACTGAACAATCCCCCGTTGGTGAAATATTCCGGATGGGTTTTGGATAGGCTAGGGGTAAATCGCGAGCTGGTTTCCATGCTTCACGCGAGGATTGCTTCGTTCAAACGCAATTTCATCAGGATTAAAGTCGTCCTGAAACCCCTCCATCTTTTCTCTTTCCAATAAGCTTTACAGTTTTTCTGAAGACCCACTAGTTCAGGAGATATTTTAGATGGGTCACAGATGCGCCACCCTCTGACCCACCCGAAAAATTGACTCCTGTGCCATTGTAAGGATAACAAACCTGTGGAAACTTCAGTGTGCCTTCAAAACACATATTTCCCTTCAAATGAGTGAAAGAGAAGCTCGGCTATCTCTGATCGATTTGGTCCGTGCGCCGTGCATTAGGCTCCTACGCAGAGGTGGTGGAAAGGTGTAAATTCTAATTTCAGGTGCTTTTATCCATGCAAGCAGATGTTTGTTTAGGGTTTGTAAAGGACAACACGCACGAATCTGTTTGAGACGTATTATTTAGTCATCTACGTACTTACGAGTTCATGCTATAAACTGACACTTATTTATTTATTTATTTACCAGTCGGATCGCCCGGCTAACGCCGAGCTCTCCTCCTTCTCTTTAGATGGCTTGGTGGGCGCACTTCATGATGGCAACAAAATTTTTTTCATCCACTTAGCTGCTCATAATGCGTTATGGTCGAATCGTAAGAATGATAACCCCACGGCGAGCCCACATCAGCTGACGCAGCAGCTTGTGCGATGGCCCGGAATGTACGGAATAACTGTCCTTAGATAGGGTGGGGATTATCAAGTCAAAAACATCTTACCTTAGTTTGCTACTCTATTATGGATTAGCTCACAGTTTTGTTAGCGGTTGTATCCTACTCTCCTGCTATTATTCTACCCAAGCGTGCACTACGCCCCCCCCCCTAGAAAGTAGAGGGGAGGGGCCCCTCACCGTACCCCCTCCTGCTTCACATTGCACAATGCTAGGTCGGGCTGAGCACGTGCAGGGGAAGGAAGCAGAGGGGGAGGGGGCCCTTTGCATCCCCCTTCCCTCGGCTCCACCCCACCCTGCCCCCGCACGAGCACATGTCCAGCTGCCACGGCAGCAGCTCGTGCAATGGCTCGGAGTGTACCGAATGATGGTCTTATATAGTGCAAGCTGTTATCAAATCAAAACACTGGATTGATAAATCTGCACCAAACGATTTCCGATTTGCTTAGCGGTCGTCCTTCCACTAATTCGAACCCGTGAAGCATTTTGCGGACGGACAAACATACATACTTACATACATACAGACCGACAAACCGACACACAAAGTTTCTGCTTTATAGAATGTAAGGATTTCTTGCTATATTGCTAATAAATCTTTTATTATTTTGTATTCCTATTTACATCCGGGTCTTCTGAAGCTTTCCGTCCGTTCCATTACCCTTAGCAATGACACCTTTGTACTGTTTGATGCCTAGCGAGCCTACTTTTGCGATACTCCCGTCCCGCGGCCAAGTACGAACCCATTCTTGGGGATTTCCCATGAAAAGAGGGCTGTTAAACGTAGCATTTAAAGCTGTAAAGAATACACTCATAATAAACTTCATTTTTTTTAACATCTTGACTTCCATAGCTCCACTCCCACTATCAACTGAAATGTCGAACCATTGCTCGGCTCTGAGTGACCCTTGAGATTACGACCCCCCCCTCCCCAGCGGCCAAGTACGACCCCCCTATGGGTTTCGCACAACGATGCTGTACCCTGGAAAGCATGCGCATCGATCGCGTTGAATGCCCGACCGAAGCGCTGCCGTCGCGAAGTCTGAACGCTGTCTTACATACTCATAGGTGTTCACAGTGTAACTTATTTACGGAGTAATGTTGTGACTAACCTCACGTACGCCTTATGCAGACGTAATAAACTCTACCGGAGTGCCCATGAAAGTTTTATTGTGCTGGGTTGAAGTTGTACGAAGCTTGGTCAGCTTGATTACAAACCCAACTCGTGCAAAAAAAAACCCAACAACAAGTCATCAGACCCAGCTTTTATTCAACGTGTTCACACGTCACAAAAAAAATTCATCACCTTCTTAGATCACGACTTCCTGTACCCAGCGGGACTCATTATTCAATCCTTCCAGATTCTACGACTTCAAAAATCTGACAGCCTAGGGATTTCGCTAGTAGCACTTTAACATCGTAAGTACACTATCCCTGCATATACCGTGACGTTAGTGGTGGAACGGAAATTCATAAATCTTCAAATAAGCTCCGAAAAGACAATAAAATATGCTATCATGCCAGTTGGACATTAAAAAGTAAATCATCTTGTAATGTGAGAAATTTGCAGAAAAATCGCTTCCATGCTTGAGCGGGAAGTTGAAATATGAGGAAAGAAATATTAGTTTGACAGGAAAACGCATATTAGATATGGATTGATATAAAATCCACAATATATGACATGAATACCGCAATACTACTTCTATATATGGTAAAATCTGGTGATAATCTGGAAAGCGAAAGAAGCGAGGTTGCTGTCCGACTCCAAGCTCAAGTTGACTGATCATAATTTTACCTGAAAATGAGCACTTTTGAAGCTTATGAATTAATAATTGTGAGCGGAAAGTAGTAGGGGAAAAGGCGAAAAAAAATCATACAGCTGCTTTCAATGCCTGGTCCAAATCTGCGATGAGGTCATCGAGGTCTTCAATTCCCACTGATAGCCGAATAAGGTTGTCAGTTATGCGAAGTTTGGCTCGCTCCTTCAATGATCAGAAGCATAAAGATGCACCAAAGGTTTTTTGGAGCAAAATTCGAAAAGTTTCGACTTACCTCTGGAGGGACCGAGGCATGCGTCATTATGGACGGCAACTCAGCCAGCGATTCATATCCACCAAGAGATTCAGCCAAGGTGAAAATCTTAAGGACGCACAAATAAAATTGTACTAAACCCAAAAGATGAAAGACTTCACTACCTTGAGCGTGCTCAGGAATATCCGACTTTCCTCCAGTCCGCCTTTCAGGTAGAATGATATCATACCAGACATTCCTTTTGTTTGACTCAAATGAATCTTGTGTTGAGGGTGCGATGGTAAGGCAGGGTACAACACCTGTAAAGTGGAACATAACTCCTATGACATTACCTTTATGGAGTCTTCCCAAGAAAACTATAAGCAGATGCCGGTACCATTCCTATTGCTACCTCAAAACCCGAGAAACGTTACCTGAAACTTAGTCTGTACGGGTTTTATGGTGTCCTGATAGCTCGAACTACACTTGGGATAAATTTTCAGCCAAATCTGTTTTCGTAGTAAAAAAAATCCGTGAAAAAACTGGCTCAATTTCGGAAGACTCAGGTAGTGATAGTTGAATAGTGCCCAGATACCATATCAGGTATGTGATACCTTACAGGAGTTCTGAGGCTACTCGCGAAATCTTCGGCTATGCAGTATACGCCACCATTTGTAGATTGCCTCATATTTTTGAAAATCTTGAGCGCCACAATGATAAACTTTACGTTCATACTAAGCGATTCAAACCACTCATTCGCGCGACTTAGGAATCGAAAAAAATTACAGTCAAAAACTTAATTCAGACTTTGCAGTGCTTCAACGATTAGCGGGGAGAGTGGCCACTCGCACTGAATCGCTCGAGTCACGATGCTAATGCGACTTCTCGCGAATGCCGAAGTGGACCAAGTACACAACAGCCCCACTGGTTCGCCTAGAGTCTACCCAGTGCTAACGGGAGACGGGCAAGAGAATCGTAAATTGCCGCTACGTCGCGCGCGGAAACGCGACGTTCCTTTGATTTGCATCATCCTTTCGATTGGAGCATCGGATTTCATGTAGACAAGGACATGGTAGACACTTATGTCTATTTTTGGTCATACATTGTCTATTCTCGACCACCACCTGAAATCCTCT